GGTGAAGGGAGAGCAGTCGTTAGTGAAAGTTTCGGCTGTTCAGTGGATTGCTGATGTGTTTTTGTGGTGGGTGGGTTGGTGGTGATCGGAGTGGTGCTAGGAATTGGTTCGGCAGTGGTTTCTTTGGGTGGCCGAGTTGTTGTTGACGTCGAGGACGCTGATGTTGTTGCTGTCGTTGTTGGTGGTGCTGTTGTTGTCAGGCGAGTAGTCGGTGGTCGGTACCTTGAAGTGATTGGTCTCCTTATTTTAGTCGACGCTGTGCTCTTTGGTCGTTTTCCATAACTGCGCCAATCAGGTCCAAGTTCCTGAAAGCGATCTTTTGAAATGATGACGTTTTGCATGAACAAACGGCTGAGAGCAATTAACCAGTAATGGATGTAACGATTTTCAAGCGAATCAGATAACGAGAATTACCAAATTAACGTTCGTCTTCAGTGACGGTCTACGCGGCATCGGTGGAGTGTTGAAGGTAGGAAGTGGTGTAGGGCCGATCTTGATTGTCTGATAGCGACGGCGATATGGTGATAAAGTGGCATTGAAGAGTACTGCTGACGGGTTATTCAAACCAATCGGTCCGTACTGTGGTTGAATCTGGAATTGTTTTGTTACGGAATGGCAACTGTGATTATACATGACAGTAATGCAGCATCAGTATAATGATGCTCGAACCAAATACACTCGTATCAACAGCAATATTACAATGCAAACACTAGTGAAGAAGATAATGATGATTATCACGTACAATGGTATGAGAGTGAGGTGATTTTCTTGTCGTTGTGCTTCTTTGGATTGGTGTGGATAGCTTGGTTGTATCACGTCGAGTTTTTGTTGTTACGCTATCGGTTAGAGCTGTTGGTTTTGCGGAATATCGGTGCTGCTCTTCGGTGAAACGTTCAATTGAATCATTCATAAAGTTGATGGCTTCAGATAGAGTCGTAAAATTCCGACTTTCGAATGTTGATAAAATAGGTGAACTCTGGAAATGGTATGTCGAGCGATACTGAATGTAAAGGCCTTAANTTCCGACTTTCGAATGTTGATAAAATAGGTGAACTCTGGAAATGGTATGTCGAGCGATACTGAATGTAAAGGCCTTAAAGTCTTGAATGCTTCAATGTGTTCCTAATCGATCATTGCATCGAATTTTGTGGTCACTGATCAATACACAAAATGCTGTGATCAAGCAGAGATTCATAAATGTTTTTAAAATAAAGGAATTTTCGATCGCAGCATATAGAAATATGCGTATCAATGGAATTTTATAATCATCCGTATGCATTCTGAAAAAGAAAACGAAATACCAAATTTGAATCTTTCAATTGACGTTTTGCTCGATGTCGGATGTCGTCAAATTTCGTGATTTCATTTTCTCGAATGCTATCCAATTTTTCAAATAAAGCAATGATCAAAGTCAAATAATTAACAACATATAAGACCAGAACACTGAAACTTCATTGAGCGTCAGTGAGTGAATGTTATCGCAGACTACTGACTGCTTCTAATATGCTCAAAAAATTTATTTAAAAAGCAATGAAACTTTTCGTCTAAATTTTCAGTTGCAATAAACGGGGTAGTGATGGCCATTGATTATTAAGTGCTAGGAATAACCCCTGTGAAAGAGAATGAATCAGCCTGTATGCCAAANGGTAGTGATGGTCATTGATTATTAAGTGCTAGGAATAACCCCTGTGAAAGAGAATGAATCAGCCTGTATGCCAAATAACTATAAAGCCCAATTCAGTTCAAGCGAATCAAATGCGAAATATAATATTAATTGTAAGGAAATTTATGAGCCATTAGAGCTTCCGCTCAGAAGGTCAGCAAATGCTAGTTGACGTAAAAAAGTGATCGGTGTTGGCCGAATACAATTTTTGCGCTGAATGTGTGCGTAATCAAAACTGGATTGTACGTAAAATAAATATATCTGTCGTAAATATAACACATATTCTGAATGTGATTATGGGAAGTAAGACGTTGTTCGATTTGAACAGCATTCCAAAAAAACATCTGAAGCAAAAGCAAAAAGCAAAAACGGAGCAAAAAGGAAACATGAAATCAGATCTATCATCAAACCGTGTTAAATGAGCTCTTAGTGCAGTTCTTGGATGGTACCGTTCAATGGTACCTATTAAATCAAATATCATTGGAAAAAGATGTGTTATTGTGGCCACAATTGTCGGTACCTGCAATGAGAAATGCTGACTGATCAAATTCATTCTTCGCACAGTTACAAATTTTAAACATGAATTATGATTATCATGTTAAATGATCCGGATGAAATCATATGTGGATTAGAGATAATTGTAACGAGAATAAACTCCGAAAATAAATTTGATGTCAAAATTACCTGATTTTTAGTGAAAAGACTTCCGGTTTTCTCGACAGTTTGAGAGGACTGCACAGCGAACGAAATGACATAAATCGAAAACGCAAGCATGCCTAATATGACAGCATTTGCGAAAATTCTTGTTGCGAACAAAAGAATTCGAAACTTCTTCTGGGTCACAATGCGGCAATCAGCTATTGATTCCTAAAAATCAGCTGATATTCTCATAATATGCAAAAATCGTTGGACTGAGTGCTGTTACAGATTCCGTGCAAAGCACCAAGATGGATGAAACGGTTGCTCCATATGATGCTCTAACTGTTCAGCTATTGAAAACAGCTTGAACCTGATGTGAGCTAAAGCTCTTTTCAAAAAAATGAACTCACTCTGAGTTTAATGACAATGGCCATAGCCGTATTGCTCGCTGTATCTGGANTTGCTCTGTTTTACCACTCGCCAGTTTACTCATTCTTGCATTTGCAGCCATCCTTGAATGCTTAAGGCAAGTGAAAGAAAAAAGGAAGGAAAAAAACGAGGAAAAGAGGAGAAGGTGAAGGACGAAGCCAAAGTAAATGCTAAAAAATTTTTAGATCCAGAATCCCTTTCCGTTCTCTCTCCCCCTTCCCTCCCATGCTCCGTTTGGAAAAAAAATTTGGGCACATTTGTGCTCAGAGCTGACAACTACTTGCTATTACATTCGTTTGTATTTCACAGTCATTCTTCTCATTCTCGATGCAAGATTATTACCAAACAATTTCTCCAATTCAATGCTTGCATAAATCAAAAACCGCATGACTGTCCAACCGACGGACTGATATTACAAAACAAAGCATTAGTTCTCCGATAGAGCCACAAAGAAATTCGACACAAATACAAATGTGCGCTTATTGAAGCAGCGATCTTACTTCCTGAGAATAGCGAAGAAGCTGTATCCGAATATGAAGAGTGTGATAATAAAGTAGGCTAATGG